CGGACTATGCAGAGAGAAAGTTTCTTTAAGCTTATTATAAGGCATTGAAGCGCTACTGCCACTACTTTTGGATTGCCCTAAGTAAATATTATTCAAACAAATTATGAACACTCAATATAATGTACTTCTAACAAACGATAAAATTTGCATTGAAAAATAGGTTTTAACTCATTATTGAAGTCACGTAAATGCCGCCTTTTTATCGAAATTGATATTTCTTATTGATATTAGCAGTTTTCATTTATTATTATTCATATGAGAAAATATTTGAAAAATCAATAGATCATTCCATAAAATGAAGTTCAGTTATTACTCAAATATATGTTTGATTCATCAAAAACATCAAACAATATTTAACTTTCTTGAAATATGTTCATAAATATTTGAAAAAGAATTTTATTGGAATTTCTTCATAATATTGTTTCTTGTCATAGAAATATTCATATTTTTATATCTTAATTCTTTGTTTTTAATATTTCAAAAACATTGTTTTAAACAATTGAATAAGTTTATATACATGTATATCAAGTATATTAGCAATGATTTTTAAAAATATGAAATTATTGAGTAAAAGTTAATGGAGAATATGTTTTTTTATTTATTTAATAGGAGAATAATGTTGATGTGACTTTATTAAAAAAACAGGAAACTGGTAAGTCATATAATTTTGACAGCTTTGCTACAGTTAACCTTGCTCATTTTTATCATATTTTAGTGAGCAATAAAACTGAAGAGGACAAGGCAATGTCATAACAAAAAAATTCTCGGAACTATTTTTAATGAAGTTCATTTTCATTGAGTTGACATGATTTTCCCTCAGGGATAAGAGAGAATATTTAAGTGATTAAGTTTTATCTATTCGTTCACCTCATGCTAATCGAACTCATTATCGTTAGTCTAGAATCGATGTTGTTTCATATCAAGAAAGTCACACTTATGTTTTCGCATTATCTCAATATTGTCATTAACTTGGTTCAATAAATTACTTAACAAAGACTGATGTTGTTGGTCGATTATATGTTCTTTTTTTAGTCTGTGACAATAATCATCAACCGACTGTGTGAGACTCATATATTATGTATTGCTAAGTGCATGTATCACCATCTGAATCAAACTGTACATTGCTTAGAAGAATCAATATGACATTGAATCGGTTCGTTCTTTTTCATGTTGCGATATTTTTTTGTAAGTGAATGTAAAGTAATTGGTGAACTATTCTGATGGATGGATAAAAAAAATCTCCCTTGTTATTTCCAAGACGTCTTTCATGAAATACGATCTAAAATGAGTATTGAAGTATAAGAGTGGCAACGAGTGCTGGTGTGGGAATGTTCTCTTCACGATTACACGTCTCCGTTTACACTAAAACACCATCCACACTCGTCCATAACACTTTTCCCGTTAAATTAGTGAAAATTGGATTGAATTATTGAAGCTCTATCCAACTATCGAATTAATGGAGAAACACACCAAAACAGATATACTAATCCTGAATTAATAATGTTTTCGAGTCTTATATATAGACACATGGAATACGTATGGATTTCATGCTTCAATTAAGTAAACAAAGATTAACTCAATTTCAAAATTCTTCAACGACCATTCGCTCATTTATTTGATGACAAATCTGAGCTTTATACAATGTTAGAAAGTTATTGGTTAACTAATTAAATCGATATGTCAATCTTTTCAGTTCTGAATCATATGTAGAGATAAGGCTATTCAGTATCTTTTAAAATTTGTCTCTAATATGAACGCAATATTTGATATTGGCTAATAATAGGTTAAAAATCAATAAAAAAAATTTTAAACACACAAATTCAATTTTATTGATTTATTATTAATTAGAAATCAGTTTTAATATTCGTCAAAAAGAATTAATATACAAAAATTATTTGTATTTGCTCGTTAGGTCTTTTAGACAATTTTGATAAGCTTGTGTTTCTTCGTGATTCTGTCCGAGGGATTCTACAGCGATTCTGATTGCCTCAATCAAATATTCACGTGCTTTTTCAAAATTGTGTTGTCGAATATAAATCTCGCTGATATTGTTCAATGTTTTTGCAAATGATGAATGCTCAGGATACATTGTTTTTTTTCTTAATTTCTAATGCAAGTATATATAAAAATAAAGCATATTCATACTTTTCTTGTTGAGCATAAATCATACCAATATTATTAAGAGATTGAGCAATATCTGGATGAATATGAATTAGGTTTCTCAGACGAATTTTCAGTGATTTCACATAATGTTTAAATGTCTGTGAATATTTATTTTGTTCAAAATAAACCATACCAATATTGTTTTCAACTAAAGCAATTGTTTCTTGATTTGGATTAGATTCCTTATTGTGATTATCTAAAGCTTTTTTATAATAACAATGAGCTTTCGCGGTAGACTTCAATAGTTTTCTTATAAAAATCCAGAGCTTCAGATAAGTCTCCCAAAAGTTCGAGCATATAAGCCTAATTTATTGTAAATGTTGGCTTTTACACCAGGAGTTTTCTCAATAAGAAGTTTTTTTTCACATATTTGTTTTGCATTGATGTAATTTCCTTTTTTGAATAGAATACTTGCGATGTCGCATAGACGAGATGGACTACTCATATAGTGTTTTCGCATGTATTTGGTAAGATCTGTAAGTTGTTCATCGTTTCCAGATGTTAATGATAAATGAACATGATAAATACTATTGTCGTCAGCATTAATGTTTCCTATACGAAAAACTGAACTCATTGAAAATAAATATTCTTTTTCAGCAAGTCCAAAATTACTAAAATCGACGATATTTGCATATGGAACACTTGAATGAGATGTTGGATCAATGGTTATTTCAAATAATACGCTTTTCTCTCTATTAGATATCCATCTAGTAAATGTCGAAGCAACATCTTTCCTTTCGCTGGTTGAGATGAAAGAAGTAAGTGATAGTAAACCACCTAAATTATTTTGAATTTCTTGACAATATTCATTTAAGATAATTTGTCCACGGTAGAGCTTCAATTTTGATATTTGTTTTTTAGTTTTATGTAATTCGACGATTTCATGATAAAGATTTTTTATGAAGAAACACATTGCATATATTATATCAATATTTTATGTACACAAACCTTTATTTATTATTTTATAGAAAATTGAGTCTTTAGTATACCAGAAAATGAACTTTTTAGGTTTATTTTCAGATTGAAATTCATCAATTATTCTCAATATATTGTTGTTATCAGAATATTGAGAACGTAAATAATTTATCATATCTTCGTAGTCTCGTTGAGAATATTCGACGTTTGTTATAATATCTTTAATAAGTTGTGCAAACATAAAATTAGGTTCTTGGTTATTTTTATCTGATTTAATTGAATTTGAATTAAAATTAGCAGATACATAATCGAATTGAACAATCTCATGTTCATATTGAATGATATCTTCTTTAACTTTATTACAAATTGTTTCTATTTGAGTAAAAATTCCTTTATATTTCTTTGACTGTTGTATTGAATGTTCATTATTTGTATTAATCAAATCGAATACATAGATTGAAGATACTTGAGATAAATAATCAATTTCTTTAGCTGTTTCTTTACTTAATTCTCCTGACAGAATAAAAAATATTTTTTCATCTTGAATATCGTTTTTATATTTCATAAATTCATCGATATTGTTGAATATTTCAAAAGTAGGAGTTAGTTTTTTAAATTATGATTTGTATCTATCATCGGTAGTTGTATTAATCCAAATACATAATGAATATTCAATGTGAGAACGTCTCACTCGACGAAATTTTCTAGACTTCTATCTAAAAAAGATTTAATTACATAAATGAACTTATCATGTTATGGGTAAAGTTGTAACACTAGGTTAAAATATTGTTCAAAGTCAAATTAAAATGTCTCAATATAATTTCTGCTAGATATTCTACACTGACCACTCGTCTTGAATAATTTTAATAACGTCATCCTAAATATCAATAGTCTTATCTTCAAAAGATTGGGTTTAAATTTTCTAATCAGAGTGAATATATTTGTATATTGTCAATTCTATCGAAACTGATTGTTAATTAAATTTTAAAATAACTCAAAGTTTGTTTTCTTCTTACTTATTTCGATGAAAAATCATAAAATCTCAAAATTTTCACTTGATTATACAGTGTTGTCATACTGAAAAAATGTATATGAATGATATGTTGATTTCTAAAACAGACTCTCTTCTTCAATGTTAATACAATATATGAAAAGATTTTCTTCAAATGTCCTTGAAAATTCTTGCAAAATTTGATCTAGACATGACTCACTTTTCATCTTCTTTCGTTCTTGAATGAAAATTATGAAAGAATAAAATCTAAATAACAAAAAAAAACACTTCATCTATTTTCAAAATTTTTCTTCTACAAGAAATCAAAAATGAATAGCTCTAGGTGAAGGTGTGGTTTGACGCTGGTGGCAACGGGTGCGTGAACTGAAGATAAAAAACACATCCACAAACTCTGTTTATTGTACTTCGAAATTTAATCTTCATTATAACAGTTATACTGAAACTAATAATAACCATATGAAATAAATCCAAAGCTTTACCAATCACAAAAGAGAATACAAGTTTTTGAAATAAATTACCTGATTATCGTCAATAATCTATCTATATGTCGTATCGAAGTTACACCGGTTGACAAAGTTATAACTTTGTCAACAATTTTGTCGAAGTTATAACTTTGGCAGACAAAGTTGACGAAGTTATTTTTTACACATTTATTGATAAATAATTTTATTAAATTGAGTATCCGGCTACTGAATCTATGATCAAAACTAAACATTTTCTAACAAATGTATATTTATTTAACAAATTTGTTAAATAAATATACATTTGTTAGAAAATGTTTAGTTTT